CACTAACACATCCCCCTTAAAACCAGAGGGAAGGTGAAATCTTACACAACTGGGATTTCTCTCTTCTTGAGGGCGCATAAGACCTGGGGTGGCTCGAGCTGACTACGAGTGCAGGAGATACCCCAGTGCAAGGTGGCAAAGAGAGGAAAACCCACGCCTTGACCCTATCCAGAAAACTTCAGCCTTCCCCAGAGCTCTGCTTTGGGGCACATTTTGTTTATTCAGTGGGTTTTGTACAAAGTTCCCAGCATTTTGAGAGTAGGAGGCACTGAGCAACAGCTGGGCGCTGGGGTCCTGCCGTGCAGGCTCGGCGGCTGGGAGCGGGTTTTTGGATCGGCTCGGCGCAGCGCCAGGAACCGCGGCTCCTCTGTTTGGACAAAGCAAACCCATTTTAGAGAAACCAGGAGCTAAAGGGTTGATGAGCCTTGATCCAGCCCTGCCTGAGCCCACCAAACCCCGGCTGCGTCGCCCTTTACGGCAGGAGGGCCCCCCTCCCCAACAGCAGCTCCCTTTGCACCGGTGCACGTCGCCCAGCCGGCGCGGGGTGCATCATCCCCAGCTGCAGCTGCGGGGAGCTGGCAAGGGGGCCCGAAACAAACAAAAAAAAACAACCCCTTCTCCATTGTTCTGGGTGAGCAGGAGCCACTAGCTCTGAATTTCGGGACCGGCCTTCGCCATCCAGATGGAGCGCTGCCAAATCCCGCAGCTCCGTTGCCCTTCCTCCGGCTCCAGCTCGACTGTGCCGAAGGCAGTTTCCCTCGCCAGGGGTCCAGCTGCAAAGGGGCTCCTTTCTCCCTTAAAAAGCAGCCAAAGGAATGTGAACCGAGAGCGAGAAGGCAGGAAATGGGGATTTCAGCTCTGGAGCTCTCCTGGAAATAATATTCCTCTCTGCCTGTACCGTTTGATTAGGTTTTTTTTAAGCCCCACACAACAAGCCACTGGTCCCAAGAGCTCTTGTTCTTCGCACGAACGTTTTACAATGGGAGGGCAGAAGGAAAGTCCCAGCTTCGTCGATTAGAAGGGAAGCAAGATTCCATGGGAAGCAGCTGTGATCTGTGCTGCCAGGAGCCTGGGCATACCTCCCCTCAGGACCGCCTGCACTTTCTCCAGCTACTTTTGAACTACAAAGGGGTGGCATCTGCGAAGGAAGTCGCAGAGGGTGGTTCTTTCCACGCCGCTGAAGAGGGTTTTAGCATCCCAAGTCCCCCGGCTGCAATCGGCCCCAGTCCCCGGGGCTTCACCAGGAGGCTCAGAAGCTGCCTCCCCTGCTCCCAGTGTAACAGGGGGCTCGGGAGCACATCACACACAGCATGGAGCCACCAGGGTTGGGGCAAGCACGAGGGTCTCGTTGACCAGGGTAAAAGGGAGCTGGCGTCCCGCTGCCCCGTGCGGGCAGGGCGGGCAGGGAAGAGGACAGCGCAGGCAAGTCGCCCTCTGGGAAACTAGCGTGTAATTGCTTTAAAAAAACCACCCACTTCTTGAAGCATTTTAATTAAAGCAATATTGATTTTAACTGAAACCCAACCCAAAGCCATGCTTTCATTCAGAAAAACTGGGGGAAATGATGCTTCGGGGGGTGTCTCCCCGGTGCCTTTGAGACAACCGTTGAACAAGCGCCACGTAAGGGACCCCAGAGGTGACCTCTTTGGGCTCCCACAAGGATGCAAAGGCCTTGGGTTGGGAAGATTCTCACACCGGGTCAGGTGCACCTGCCAGCCGAACGCACGCCGGCGAGCACCTGCCAGCAGAAAGGCACGGCGGGGGCAAGG